TGCTGCAACAATTCTAGACATAATTTTTCAGTAATATCTCTTCTTTTCTTTTCGTGAAATGTGTTTTGAGCATGCACACAGAGACTTTTTACAATTTCGTCATATTTTATAGTTAAAACGCTCATATTTATTGAATTTGAATGCAATTATCCACTTTTTAATAATTTCCACAGATTTTATGCAATAACTGCTATTTTTTTGCAATTTTAATGCAAATATTAACTTGTTCACTAATTTTTCCCCATAAAATGTAAACAAACAATGCGTGCACAACGGTTAGCAAACGACGGTGCCGTACTTATCCGTTTCTGCATCTTCTACGATTTTCCGATAACTAGCCGATAACGACAAGTGTGCCAATCTCCTTTGAAATGCATGTGCTCGGCTCAAAATTTCAGGGCGAGACGATAACGCAACTATGATTGTACGACAAGTGTGGAGATAGCCCTAGTTTCACACATCAATTCTGACAACTGTCTTTCAACTTACCCCAGTTTTTTCAAAGACAAAAGTACATACTTGGAAACACAAATGTCAATTCTGGCAACTACCTTGAAATCTATTTTCCGTCTTTTCAAAGACTAATTTAAAACAAGTAAGAAAGTCTAAGTTTGGGTGGAGCCGAACATTAAATACCCGGCGCAAGTATTAAATATATGTTTTTTCACCTTTCCGAAAGCTACCGCTAGATGGTAAGCCGGGGTGTATCAATTTTGAGTAAATTAGCGTCCTTAAATTTCGAAATATTGCAGTTTCAAGCATTTCTGAAATTTGCCGTTATATGAAAAGCGGCCGTAATTTTAGTCCGATATCAATAATTTTCAACATTTTGCTTTTATGTGGCAATTGGTAGAACGGTTACCGATATCCACATATGTGACCATAAGTGGGCGATGCTACGCCCATTTTCCAAAATTTTACCATAAACGTATTTCTTGGTAAAGAATTGTTGCAAGCATCAATTTTGAATAAATTAGCTTTAATATTTACTGATTTATCGAAGATTTTGTATTTCTCTAAATTACCGTTATATGGGATGTAGGCGTGGTGATGGTCCGATTTTAAAAATTTTCGGCCATTTAGTATGATGTACCAAGGCCAACAACTTTGCCAAGTTTGGAAGAAATTGGTGCAGCGGTTACCAAGATATACACATGTAACCATAAGTGGGCGTGGCTATGCCCATTTTCCAAAAATTTATAATATTCTCATTTTTCGTCTGAAAATTCTTGTAAATATCAATTTTGAGTGAATTATCTTCAGTAGTTACTAAAATATCGCAGTTTTCGTATTTCTGGAAATTACCGTTATATGGGAAGTGGGCGTGGTTACAGTCCAATTTCGCCCATTTTCAATACCAACCTACCTTGGATTAGCGGAAACCTAAGAAAGAAAGGAAAGAAATTGGTGCAGCGGTTACCAAGATATACACATGTAACCATAAGTGGGCGTGGCT